GGGCAGGCACGAAGGGCAGAAGCGGCAGCTACTGGGGTTGCTGGGTAAGGAGGGCCAATTTTAGAAGGGCCCAGGAGCTTGGAAGGACCCAGCTTTGGGGAGGGGTCGTGCAGGCAGCCACAGAGTGGCCCTTGGACTGAGACGAGCTAGGTGAACATCTTGGTGGGGGCAGTGCCTCCAGGAAGGAGGTGCTCAGAGGCAGGGGTGCAGGGGGAGGTGGGGGGTGAGGAGTTAGTACTGAGATCCCTCTGGAGGGGGAGCCTCGGACATTGGAGCTGGCCCCTCTCTGGTGGGCTGTTGCATGTACAGTGGCCTGCACAGCCCCCTGGATGGTCACCTGGCTGCCCGCAGGTGGACGTGGAGGCAGGTGCGGGGCATGCAGGTGTGTGTGAGACAGAGAGGAGCTGAGTCGAGGAGGAGCTGCAGGTCCTTGTCCTGAGCACAGGGCACAAGGATTCTATCCACTGAGAGGCTGAAGGAGCCAGAGGAGGGGCAGAGGGAAGGGAAGAGGTGGGGGTGGGGCGCAACACCTTGCTGGCTCAAAGGCAGCCCCTTGGCAGACTCGAAGGCAGTGGGTGGGGAAGAGCTTAGACCAGGCACAAATTCAGATATCATCATCCCCTGCTTACGGGAAGGCTTCCCAGTGATGTCCGGTGTTGACCAAATATAAATCTGTTCTAAGTATTGTGTGTCAATCCACAGTCTGGAGCTGTCACAATGTTACTGCAGATACTGCATATTAAAAATTCTGAAATTAAAAAAAACAAAAAACAAAAAACTCTTGCTTCCTTTGAATGGAGCAATGGGTGTTGTCCAACCATCCCTGTGCCCAGGCTAGAGCACCTTCCAGGATGAAGAGCCACTTGGGGATTAGTGGGGACACGGAAGGAGGTCCTAGGTGTGCACCAAGTTCTGTAACCCCAGGGCTTCTGTCTCTGTAACCAGAGACACAGCTTTCCCCAGGGTTTGATGGTTGCTTCCTTCTGGGGTCCTCCCCAGGCCTGGGCCTTGGGAGTTGGAGGACCCCTCCGTGCCAATGACCCCATTGATCCTAAAGAATCTGCCCCAACGGGGGGCCTCCAGACCTGGCTGGGTGTGTGGGGGCTGGGCAGAAGGTGTGAGGGTTGCTGATGTGTGTCAGGCATGAATGTGTGTGTGTGTGTGTGTTGTGTGTTGGTGTCAAAGGGTGTATGTGTGTGAGTGCACAGATGTTACTAGAGGTGAATGAGTGTTGGGTGGGGGGGTGTCAGGAGGTGTAAGTGTGTGGGTGTGTCAGTATCATGGGGTCTGTATGGGTGCGTCGGTGTCATGGGCTGTGTTTTGGTGTCATGGGCTATGACTATGAGTGTGTCAGTGTCATGGGGAGTGAGTGTGGATGTGTTGCCACAAGGCATGAGTGTGTGTTGGTGTCATGGGGTCTGTATGGGTGTGTCAGTGTCATGGGGTGTGAGTGTGTTGGTGTCATGGGCTATGAGTGTGAGTGTGTTGGTGTCATGGGCTATGAGTGTGAGTGTGTCAGTGTCATGGGGTGTGAGTGTGGATGTGTTGCCACAAGGCATGAGTGTGTGTTGGTGTCATGGGGTCTGTATGGGTGTGTCAGTGTCATGGGGTGTGAGTGTGTTGGTGTCATGGGCTATGAGTGTGAGTGTGTTGGTGTCATGGGCTATGAGTGTGAGTGTGTCAGTGTCATGGGGTGTGAGTGTGGATGTGTTGCCACAAGGCATGAGTGTGTGTTGGTGTCATGGGGTCTGTATGGGTGTGTCAGTGTCATGGGGCGTGAGAGTGTTGGTGTCATGGGCTGTGAGTGTGAGTGTGTCAGTGTCATGGGGTGTGAGTGTGGATGTGTTGCCACAAGGCATGAGTGTGTGTTGATGTCATGGGGTGTATATGGGTATGTCAGTGTCATGGGGTGTGAGTATGTAGGTATCAAGAGGTGTGAATGCGTGTGTGTTGGTGTCATGGGCTGTGAGTGTGTAGGTGTCAAGAGGTGTGAATGCGTGTGTGCTGGTGTCACAAGGCATGAGTGGGAGTCATTGCTGCCTGTTGAGCCCCAGAGGAAGTCCACTTCCAGACGACTTCCAGATCAGTCAGGTGAGCCGCATGCTCCTCTCTGGGAGAATTTCCTTCCTGGCTTGTTCTCTCTCTGGTGGTGCCTTTTGGGTTTTCATGGACCTTTATTCATGGGAATGAAAGGATCTTCAGTAGCTTTTCAAAGAACTTTCATGAAAATGTAGACTGGCACGGAACACCGAATGTTCACCTCTTAAAGACTTGGCAAGATGAGCCCTGGTGTGATGTCAGCTTCCCCACGAAAGACAGCAGTGCCCAGAGCCCCTTTGCTCTGGGCTGCTCTGATCTCCAATCTTAGTTCCGCCCCTTCCTGCCCTGTGGGGTCGGCACTGACCCCTAGGTGTGTTCTTTACCAAGGTGCGCGTTTGTGAGACATCTGTTGTCAGGTGTGGTTGCAGAGTGGGCAGATTACAGCTGGGCAGGATTCCGTTGTGTGAATGTGCCACACTCTATCTTCCAGCTACAACCAGGCTTTTACCATTGGGAATGATGCGGAGCAAAGACTCTTGTGCACGTCTTTAGGGCATGTTTATGGAAAGAAATGAAGAATTAAGAGGAAAGATGGGAAAAAATAAAACTCAGAGAGATTGCATACATCTGTGTGTTTTTACTTACTTACCTTTGCACAACCACACCCTTGGTTCATTTGGCTTCACTCCCTCCAGCAAAATATCTCATAGCAGTTTCTGCAATTTCTTTTCGACAGAAGTATTCTTGGATCTATTTAGTGGACTTGGAGCTGGGCCGCACCATTTGCAAAAAACACGATGAAGATATTGACAACTGCCCATTGCAAGAAGGCCCAGGAGAGAAAAAGGTTTGAGGATAAAATCAACTCGCAAGCATCACAGTGGATCTTGCAAGAATGAAGGGTCTCTGGGGGGAGGCTTAGGAAAGTCTCGGGGCAGATGGATGGAGAGCTCTTGACCCCTGTCCCACCAGGTGTCAGGGCTCCCACATTAGAAGCAGGAGCTGGTCAACTCAGGTGGACACAGCCTGACCCTGGTGCTGGGCGGGAGCCCCCTGCTCACGGCCCAGCAGGCTGACCACAGGCTCATGGGGACAGATGTCCACAGGGCCTCCATGTCTGCGTGGAACCTCACTCCTGGTCCCAGCCCTGTACCCTCAAGGCTTAGGCAAAGCATGTTCTCCTTGTGGTCGTCACTCTTCTTGCTCATGTTCTTGAGGACTGGAGGACTTCCCAGTGATCTGTTCCACCACTCTGTCCCCCCAGTCCCTGGGTCATGAGCCCGTTTCCTGGTCAGTCTGAGTTCTGTCATCACCATCCCATGATTGGCAGGTGATCTATGTGACTGACACATGATTCATGTGACTGACATGTGACCCGTGGGGTGTGAGAGCTTGAGGCCAGTCTCAGCACCCAACACACAGCCTGGTGGGCAGCCTCCCCTGGGAGGGTTTGTGCTGCTGCCCAGTTGGAGGGGTGTCAAGTGGGACCATGGCTCAGACAGTGATTTGGCCTTGGAACACATGGGGTGGGTGCAGTTTCTCCAGCATGCAGTGCACTGTGGAGGCTGTGAGGGGGATGGAGTGTCCCAGAGGGCAGGTGATGGCCCCAGGAAGTTGCTGTCTCACGGGGCCATGGATTCAGTTGGGAGAATTCAGTCCCTTCTGCATGCTGTCCTGGTGGATCCTTGAGCTCCTCCATTCCTGCTCCCAGGTGCCTGGTTTCCCTTCCTCCTTCTGTCTTTCCTTCCATCCTTTTCTGTTGTGCTTTTATTACTGTACCTTGAGACTCCTCTACATGCTGCATGGTGTCAGTGCCTTATCTTTTCCTAATTGCTGTGTTGCAATGCTCTCATTTTAGGTACGCTGCACTTATATCATCCATTCCCTGGCATGGATTACCAAATTTACCATCCTGGACAGCACCTGTGCACAGACCTCGGCCGGGGGGATGCCTGTGACTTCTCCCAGCAAAAGTCCTGTGTCCTCTCCAATCAGCAGCCCAAGGTCTGCATAACCCCAGCAGAATTAAAGGCAACCCAGCATGCATTCTAGGTCCATGAGCAGTTTTGCAGTGTTTTGTATCACTTGTTTGCTACGGAGGTCACAGCCAGCGATAAAGGATGCAGAGTTTATTGTCACTGCCGGTATTTAACTGAGCTGCAGAGTGATAAATGACTTAAACTCCCCAGTTCCTGGGTGTTAGTTCAGAGAGATGCCCCATGAGTTGATGGGTGTGTTCATTCATTACTCTAGTCCTTCTATTTTTTCATGCATTCTTTCTTCAACTTCTCCATACTCCTCCTGGATTGTACTTAAGGGAATGCAAATTTTGCAAGGCTCAGCTCTCTGCAATCACTTTGCTCTCATCTCAGGGACCAGGCTCAGAACAAGTGACCTTTCTGCAAAGGAGCCAGGCCCTGAACAGGGTGGGGAAGGGTAACTGATGCTGCTGAAAAGCCGTTCTCTTGTGGCTTGCCTGGATGCCGAGAACGTGTGCTTCAGGGCTAGGCAGCAGCTCAGAAGGCAGCAGTTTCAGGTCCTTGATTTCCACTTTCTTTTTTTTTTTTTTTTTTTTTTTTTTGACAGGCAGAGTGGACAGTGAGAGAGACAGAGAGAAAGGTCTTCGTTTTGCCATTGGTTCACCCTCCAATGGCCGCCGCGGCCAGCGCGCTGCGACCAGCGCACCGCGCTGATCTAATGGCAGGAGCCAGGTGCTTCTCCTGGTCTCCCATGGGGTGCAGGGCCCAAGCACCCGGGCCATCCTCCACTGCACTCCCTGGCCACAGCAGAGAGCTGGCCTGGAAGAGGGGCAACCGGGACAGAATCCGGCGCCTCAACCGGGACTAGAACCCGGTGTGCCGGCGCCGCAAGGTGGAGGATTAGCCTAGTGAGCCGCGGCGCCGGCTAATTTCCACTTTCTTGAAGCCTCTCTCCCCCACTGGGTGCCCACCCTGGTCTCTGTGGCTGTCAGCAGCACCCAATGCCCCTGGGAGAGACATCCAGGGTGGTGACAGACATCTCCGGGTAGCAAATCCCTGTGCTGGGGTCCTCGCTGGGAGGAAGCCTTGGAAAGGTAGAGAGATGGGGGTGTGGGAAGTGGGCACCCGTGGGATCGAGTGGAGGTGGCAGTGCCTTCTCTGGAAGATTTTTTTTTTTTTAGAATTATTTTATTTATTTGAAAGATAGAGTCTCAGAGAGAGGTAGAGCCAGAGAGAGAGAGAGAGGTCTTCCATTCCGCTGGTTTACTCCCCAAATGGCCTCAAAGGCCAGAGCTGAGCTGATCCATAGCCAGGAGCCAGGAGCTTCTTCCAGGTCTCCCACGTGGATGTAGGGGTCCAAGGACTTGGGCCATCTTCTACTGCTTTCCCAGGCCATAACAGAGAGCTGGATCGGAAGAGGAGCAGCCAGGACTAGAACCAGCGCCCATATGGGATGCCGGTGCTGCAGGCTGGGACTTTAACCCACTGTGCCATAGCACCTGCCTCCTCTCTGGAGGATTCTTAAGAGTGGACAGGCAGGCCGGCGCTGCGGCTCACTAGGCTAATCCTCCGCCTTGCGGTGCCGGCACACCGGGTTCTAGTCCCGGTCAGGGCGCCGGATTCTGTCCCGGTTGCCCCTCTTCCAGGCCAGCTCTCTGCTGTGGCCAGGGAGTGCAGTGGAGGATGGCCCGGGTGCTTGGGCCCTGCACCCCATGGGAGAGCAGGATAAGTACCTGGCTCCTGCCATCGGATCAGCGAGGTGCGCTGGCCGCGGCGGCCATTGGAGGGTGAACCAATGGCAAAAGGAAAACCTTTCTCTCTGTCTCTCTCTCTCACTGTCCACTCTGCCTGTCAAAAAAAAAAAAAAAAAAAAAGAAAAAAAAAAGAGTGGAAAGGCAAGGGCCGTCCCCCCTCCTCTTGGATTTCTGAGGGTTTCTATTGCACTATATCTTGGCAGAGAGTTTGCCCTTTCTTGAACCCAGGCATTTCTTGAACCCAGGATTTTCAGAGGTAGCTGTGGATGACATGGGTGTAGCACAGACATGGTGGTCTGAGTGTTTTGGTGTATTGACTGGCTTGTGTGTATGATCTGTAAATACCTTTCAACCTTGAATGAGGGTCTACTTACCAAGGTGGGTCTGTGTGGCCTGCAAGGCTGATCTGCCTCTGGCCTGTGGCTGGACAAAATCAGCCTCTTTGGGTTCAAGGACCCCATACGTGCTTTTCAAGGACCCCATGCCTGGTATTCAAGGGCTCCAGGCATTTTCCTGGACCCCATGGCTGTTTCTCGTCCATTGTTCTTCACCATCTGTCTGTTGTGTGTGGACTCCATGTCATTTTCAAAGACCTTTTGACCGACACTTATGGGCTTTATACCCATTGTTCTGGAACCTCATATTTTCATATACCAAGACCATATTCACGGATCACATACCTGCTTTCATTGAGCCTACACTATTGTGTATGGATGACATTGCCAGTTTTAATGGAAACTATGTTATTTTTTCATGGATCTCATGGCCACTGTTCAAGGATCCCATCCGATAGTTCTTAGATCCTGTGCCCATTTTCATAGACCTCAGGTCGTTGTTCATGGATCCCATGCATGTTCATGGACCCTACACCAGCTTCCTCATGGCCATTGTTTATGGATACTTCCTGTTGTTCACGCACCCAGTGTCCACTGTTCATGGATGTCATTCATGGTCTCCATCTAGTTATTCTTGAGTTCCATCCCCCTTGCTCCTGGGCCACACGCTTGTTGGTCAGGGACTCCATATCCACTGTTTACAGACCCCACATCCATTGTTCACGGGACATATATCAATTTTCATGGACCTCATTTCAGTTCCTTTTTGCCCATAGACCCTGTAAACATTGTTCATGAATGTCTTGTCCCTTGGTCATACACCCCATCTCACTATCTTGGATCCCGTGCCCACTTCCACGAATAAACTTGCTGTTAATTCACCCCATCCTTGTTTTCCGTGGACCTCACACCCATTTTCCATGGATATATTCTGCTGTTCCTGAATCCTGTGCTCATCTCCTTAGAGCTTGTGGCCCACTTGATAAACCTCAAGCTCACTGTCCATGAACCTCACCCCCATCATTCACAATCCCCGTGTCTATTGCTCATGGATGCAGGCTTGTAGTTCACTGTCCTCTTACCTTTCATTCACAGCCCTCTACGAGCGCTGCTCATGTCAGTGGTGCACGGCTCTTATTCCCCTTTCCTTGGATCCTGTGCTTCTTGGCGTCAATCTCATACACATTTCATCCATTCTTCTTGGGTGCAGTGCCCATTGCTGTAGTCTTCATGTCTTCATGTCTATTGGACATCAGCTCCTTTCCTATTGTTCATGGATCACATACCTGTTTGTTATGGATCTCATCTTTTATTCATGGACCCTATTTTTCATGGACCTTACTCTCTGTTTTTGGACCCATGGACCCATATCCATTGTTCTTCAATCTCATGCCCACTTTCATTGACATTATATTTGTTTCAAGAACCTCAATTCTCTTTCATGGATCCAATGCCCATTGTTTATGTAGGTGGGAGACCTGGGATGAAGCTCCAGGCTCCTGGCTTTGTCCTGGTCCAGCCTTAGTTGTTGCGACCATTTGGGGAGTGAACCAACAGATGGAAGATTCATTCTCTCTCTCTCTCTCTCTGTCTCTAACTCTGGCTTTCAAATAAATAAAAAAATAAATGAATCTTTAAAAAAAACACAAAATATAAAACCTGAGTTTTTTACACCTGACCCAAGACAACAAGCCATTAATTTAAATCATGCTGCATAGGATTTAGGATTTACTAAATCCACATAAGATTTAGTAAAGGAAATACACAACTAGAGGCAGTTAAAAAAATCCAAATTTAGGGGCTGATACTGTGGCATAGCAGTTAAGGCTGCCACCTATGATGCTGGCATTCCATACGGACCCTGGTTTGAATCTTGACTGTTCTACTTCCTCTCCAGCTCCCTGTTAACAGCCTTGAGAAAGCAGTGGAAGATGGCCTAAGTGTTTGGGCCCCTGGACCCACGTGGGAGACCCTGAAGAAGCTCCAGGCTCCTGGCTTCGGATCAGCCCAGCTCTAGTCCTTGACGCCATTTGGGGAGTGAACCAGAGAATGGAAGATCTCTCTCTCTCTCTCTCTCTCTCTGTCTCTGCTTCTGCTTCTCTGAAACTCTGCTTTCAAATAAATGAATAAATAAATGCATCTTTTTTAAAGAAACCACATTATATTTGAGATTATAAAATATGTTAGGACTAGTATATATTAAGATAGCACAGATTAAGGAGAGAAGACCAAGTGGTCAAAATGGTGCAAATAGACTGAATGCTCTATTTAGAAGACAAATTTAGCTTATGGTTTAAAAAAGCAAAACAAAGAAAACATACCTTATATATATGATCCCAGAAATTTTGGGAAAATGAGGATGGATTAAAGCATACTGTGCCAACCTCACCAAATAACATCTATGTAGCAGGGCTGATATCACAAAAAGCACTCTAAGAAGCACCACCTAAAATAGAGATTTTTCTACTGATGAAAATGCTTAACTGGGAAGATATAGACTCTCTAAGCATGTGTCTCCCTGTCAAAAGAAAAGAAAAAAAATTAACTAACAACAGATGCTGGCGAGGATGTGGGGGGAAAGGGACACTAACCCACTGTTGGTGGGAATGCAAACTGGTAAAGCCACTATGGAAGTCAGTCTGGAGATTCCTCAGAAACCTGAAGATAACCCTACCATTCAACCCAGCCATCCCACTCCTTGGAATTTACCCAAAGGAAATTAAATTGGCAAATAAAAGAGCTGTCTGCACCTCAGTGTTTATTGCAGCTCAATTCACAGTAGCTAAGACCTGGAACCAACCTAAATGCCCATCAACAGAAGACTGGATAAAGAAATTATGGGATATGTACTCTATAGAATACTATACAGCACTAAAAAATGAAATCCGGTCATTTGCAACAAAATGGAGGAATCTGGAAAACATCATGCTGAGTGAAATAAGCCAATCCCAAAGGGACAAATATCATATGTTCTCCCTGATTGGTGACAACTAACTGAGCACCTAAACGGAAACCTGTAGAAGTGAAATGGACACTATGAGAAACAGTGACTTGATCATCCCTTGTCCTGACTGTTGAGAACAACTTACTATTTTATTCCTTTTAGTATTTTTTTTGTTCTACTTAATACCATTGGTTGAACTCTTTAATTAACACAAAATTATTCTTAGGCATTTAAATTTAACTGAAAAGTGATCCCTGTTAATTATAAGAGTGGGAATAAGAGAAGGAAGAGATGTACAGTTCGGCACATGCTCACTCGGACTTACCCCTAATGGTAGACTGGAACCGTGCCAGGGGATTCCAATTCAATCCCATCAAGGTGGCATGTACCAATGCCATCTCACTAGTCAAAGTGATCAGTTTCAGTTCATAATTGATCATAATGATAGGATTAAGTGTCAAAGGGATCACATAAACAAGACTAGTGTCTGCTAATGCTAACTGATAGAATTAAAAAGGAGAGAACAATCCAACATGGGAAATGGGATACACAGCAGACTCATAGAATGGCAAATGTCCTAAACAGCACTGTGGCCTCAGAATCAGCCCTTAAGGCATTCGGATCTGGCTAAAAAGCCCACGAGAGTTTCACAGGCATGGAAAACCAAGACACTGTGGCAAATAAAATGACCTAAATAAAAAATCTCTGTGAGTGGGATTCCAGAGAAAGAATGGGCCATCAAAAAAGGAGGTACCTTTCTCTGAAGGGAGGAGAGAACTTCCACTTTGACTATGGCCTTGTCTAAATAAGATTAGAGTTGGTGAACTCAAGAGGCTTCCACAGTCTTGGAAAGAGCCTTGGGTGATTACTTAAGTCATAAATAAGAGTGTCAATTGTTAAATCAACAACAGGAGTCACTGTGCACTTACTCCCCATGTGGGATCTCTGTCCTTAATGTGTTGTACTATGTGAATTAATGGTAAAACTACTACTAAAACAGTACTCTATACTTTGTGTGTCTGTGTGGGTGCAAACTGTTGAAATCTTTACTTAGTAAATACTAAGTAGATCTTCTGTATATAAAGATAATTGAAAATGAATCTTGATGAAGAATGGGATGGGAGAGGGAGTAGGAGATGGGATGGTTTCAGGTAGGAGGGAGGTTATGGGGGAAAAGCTGCTATAATCCAAAAGTTGTACTTTGGAAATTTATATTTGTTAAATAAAAATTAAAAAAAGAAAAGAAAAAAAGACAAAGAATTTTTAAAAAGAACTGATTAAATCCACAATCATAGTGAGAATGTATCAAGCACAACAGCCAGAAACTGATAAAACTAAAACCAGCAGGGCTGGCATTATGGCATGGCTGGTTAAGCCACCGCCTGTGATGCTAGCATTCCATCTGAGCACTGGTTTGAGTCCTGGCTGCTCCGCTTCTGACCCTGCTCTCTGTTAATGCACCTGGGAGAGCAGTAGAAGGTTGTCCAAGTGCCTGGGCCCTTGCTACCCATGTGGGACACCTGGAAGAAGCTCCTGGCTCCTGGATTCAGCCTGGCTCAGCCCGGGTCATTGTAGCTATCTGGGGAGTGAACCAGCAGATGGCAGCTCTCTCTCTCTCTCTCTCTTTCTTGCTCTCTAACTCTGTATTTTAAATAAATAAATAAATAAATCTTAAAAAAAAAACTACAACCAGCAACAAAAAATCAGTAACAACACAGGCGTTCTGTACTACACAATATCTAACTGTCCTTCTTGACACAGCATCTTTTTTAAATAAAGATTTTATTTATATATTTGACAGGTAGAGTTACAGACAGTGAGAGAGAGAGAAAGAGAGAGAGAGAGAGAGAGAGAGAGGTCTTCCATCCACTAGTTCACTCCCCAGTTGGCTGCAATGGCCAGAGGTGCACTGATCCGAAGCCAGGAGCCAGGAGCTTCTTCCATGTGGGTGCAGGGGCCCAAGGTCTTGGGCCATCTTCTACTGCTTTCCTAGGCCATAGCAGAGAGCTGGATTGGAAGAGGACCAATGAACCTGAACCATGAACCTGCACCCATACGGGTGCAGGAGCTGCAGGCAAAGGCTTAGCTCACTATGCCACAGCTCCAGGCCCAATTAAGTATGTCTTTTTATTTTTATTTTTTTTTTTTATTTTTTGACAGGCAGAGTGGACAGTGAGAGAGAGAGACAGAGGGAAAGGTCTTCCTTTTGCCGTTGGTTCACCCTCCAATGGCCGCCGCGGCCAGCGCGCTGCGGCCGGCGCACCGCGCTGATCCGATGGCAGGAGCCAGGAGCCAGGTGCTTTTCCTGGTCTCCCATGGGGTGCAGGGCCCAAGCACCCGGGCCATCCTCCACTGCACTCCCTGACCACAGCAGAGGGCTGGCCTGGAAGAGGGGCAACCGGGACAGAATCCGGCGCCCCGACCGGGACTAGAACCCGGTGTGCCGGCGCCGCTAGGCGGAGGATTAGCCTAGTGAGCCGCGGCGCCGGCCCTTCAGTATGTCTTTTTTAGACACTGTGTTGTAAATACTTAAAGAAATTCAATCCATGAGTGTTGATATCTTATTTACTGAATTATTTTTATTACTGTTATACTAGACGTGCTCATTTCATTTTCTCTTTTTGTGGATTTATAGCCTTAATATTATTTCCAATGGTAACATAAAGATTCTTCTGCTGGTTCTATTCTATTTGTGTTTCTAGTTGCATTTTTTTTATTTGAAAGGCAGATACAGGGGTTTACTACCTAACTGTATGCAACTGTTGGGACTAGGCCAGGTGCCAGGAATTCAATCAGAGTCTCCCCCGTGGGTGTTGGGGATCCACTATCTGAGCCATCGCCTGTTGCCTCCCAGGGTGTGTGCTAACGGGACGCTGGAATCAGGAGCCGAGCCAATAGCAAATAGGCAAGCTCAGGCTCTCCAACACGGCACACAGGCACCCCAAGTCCCAGCTTTGTCCAACCATTGTGCTCAGCACCTGCTCGATCTTTCCTTCCTTCCTCTCTCTCTCTCTCTCTCTCTCTCTCTCTCTCTCTCTCCCTCTTTCTTTCTTTCTGGTTTAAACCATGTAGTCTCCTGAGTGGCAGCTATAGATTTGCCCTTGTTCTAAAACAATCATTATTTATATTTTCACTATAGAAGCCAGTTGCGAATTCCATGAACACCAGTAATCCGGTTCTCGGGCCAAGAAAAGGGCAGTGTGAGATTTCTTCCAGGGAGAGGAAGCTGATGGAAACAGGCAGGACCAAAGGCCTTATTTCAGGGAGTTACACGGCCCACGCTGAGTCTTCTGGCAAGCTTGTGTGATGCAGTGAGACCCTGGGATGGTTGAGGTGAGGGGAATGGCATTTTGCATGGGGGACTCTTCAGGTGAAGTGGAGGATCATCCAGCAGTATCTGAGAAGACTCCATGAAACTGCAGAGGTGGATTTGTGAGTGTGGAAGCAGCAGGTGGACCACACACAACACGGCATCAGCCAAGGATGGCCCGGGTGATAGGGTAAAAGTAGATAGTAAGAGTTCTACAATTCTCATATCCCCATCAAGTAATGTTTCTCTCTCTGTCAGCTTGACACACCGCCTGTCTCATCCAAGACCAGGGCACATGCTACGACCCCATGCCATGTGTATATCCAATGCAGGTGCCATCCCTTATCTCATTAAAGGAGGTGGAGAGCAGGAGAGAGGTCTCTCTTGGCCATGGGCACAAATAGGGGTGCCGCTCTCATTTTCTCTGTTTCGGGGGCACTCATGATGGGTGTTTCTCCGTGTGGGGTGCCCCACACTCACCTGTGAAGGCATGTTTATTCTCTCACTGTTACACAGATCCTGATCCCATTGGTGCGTGCTAGGAAGCCTCTGCTTTGAATTCTGATCTCCAGACAAGAACCTGGATAGGAAATCCATATGCTCCCATCCCCCTCTCGCGGATCAAATCCAAGCCACCGCATGTCGTTATAGTTTTGTGTAATAGACATTCCTACCCTTGCATATTGTCCCTTGTTGCTTTGGTGTCACACTAGCAGAATTGAGACGCTTTCAGAGAAACCACGTGGCCTGTGCAGCGTGAAAACATTCCCCATCCGTTCCTTAACAGAAAAGTTGCTGAGCCCTGCAACACCTGGAGCGGAACACTCAGGCAAAATTGCCCGAGAGTTCCAAAAAGCAAGATGAAATGCCTAACACAAAGTGCAAAAAGTTACGAACAAGAACCAAGGGGCATATTAGATGTAAGAAGAATGTTGATTGAAATACAGACCACGAGGACGGAAAAATAGAGATAGATAGGAAAGAGGAATGAATGAGTGAGTGGCTGACCCACCTGGACAAGGCTTTCCAAGAAGGGATGAAGATAGGGAGGGTGGGAGAGGATGTGGAGCCCTCTGTATAACAAAGAAGAAGTTATCCATGGGCTGGCATCATGGTGCAGTAGGTCAAGTTACCACCGGCGATGCCAACATCCCATATGAGCACCAGATTGACTCCCAGCTGCTTCACCTCTGGTCCAGCTCCCTGCTAATGCTCCTGGGAAAGCAGTGGAAGACAGCCCAAGTCCTTGGGTCCTTGCTACCCATGTGAGAGACCCAGAGGGTATTCCAGGCTCCTGGCTTTGGCCTAGCCCAGCCGTGGCTGTTGTGGCCATCTGGGGGGAATGAACAGTGGATAGAATATATCTTTCTCTCTGTCTCTCTCTTTCTCTCTCTGTAACCCTGTCTTTCCAATAAATAAGTTATTCATGACGCTGGTTTAGAAGGGAAGGCTGACTTCACTCAGGATAATTGGGAAAGGCCAAGGAACCAGTGCAGCAGAGTTTGGGGGTGGAGGAGAAATGTCGGGGTCAATTCTGAGGACAACGAGGGAAAGTGGGGACCCAGGGCTGTGCATCAGCATGGGGGTCAGTGGCTAGGCAGAAAACCCCAGGGGTGGGGGGATGCTGCCTACATGGACTTGGCAGGATTGTGGCAGAGGGCAGGCCAGGGTGAGCAGACATCAATTACCTGGGGCAGGGCAGAAGGAATAGGGGCAGGGGTGGGGCTCCCACTAAGCTGACTCAGTAAGGTTCTTGCTAGGATTAGATAATGTAAGGAGGAAATCAGGGCTGGTGCACTGGAGTTTGCTCCAAGAGTCTTTCTCAAAGAGAAATATATAGAAGGAAAAATAAGAAGTGAATTATTTTCTCTCATCCAAACAAAACCTTTACTCATTCACTCGACAAATACTGGTGTGCCCTCTGTGCCTGGCCTGCTGCAGGCCCTTGGTGGTGTCACTCAGAGCTTAGCCCTGCCCCCTGATGCTGAGTCGAATGATCAGGGCAAGGTTTGGGGACAACGGCAAGAGGAAGTCCATCATAGATGAGGGTGCCCTGCTCAGTGAGGACGCTCTGGGGGGTTTTTAGGGAGATTGCAGAGGAGGCTGGGCCGCTGAGCCCAGTGCTCCTGCTGGTTTGTGAGTCTGCTAGCAGGGAATATGGGACAGCAGGGGGAAACTGGCCTGTTGGCTTCGCTGTCAGGAGGAGGACGTAGCAGGATACCCTGGACAACGAAGCAGCTACAAAACGCTATTTGGCCACCATCGGGTAGGGGCACGGTATCGTTTGAGATCTCAGTGCCTGGCGAATCAGCAAGCGTGTCCTCCCTCAGGAACAGTGGGGCAGTGGCAAGCATGTTTCTTTTTTCACAGTGCACATTTCTGTGCACTTTGTGAACGTGCACTTTGAGTTCATTGACCTTGGCCACCTGGGACGAATGCCTGTATCTACATCCCTCCAGGAACTTGCTGGATGAGGATTTGCTGTCTCACAGAAAAGCAGACTGTCTGAGAGCTCAGGGGGTGCACACCCCTCTTCCCTGTAAGGTTCAGACCCAGGCATCAGGGTGGACTGGATGACCACCCCCTGCCCCCGCTGCGCGCCCTGATAGGAGAGAAGCCCAGAGCAATGGAGTTTAGAGGCCAGGCACTGCAGCCTCCCGGCTCCTGGCACCCCCGGGCAGATGCCCCAGAGGAGCTCTCCTTCCTAGGGCAGAGTGGGAGGCACTTGTCTGTGGTTTGTGGCCCCCTGAGAGCTGCTGGGAGCCCGGTGGGCTAGAGGGGCCCTCCCTGAAGCAGGGTCACAAGTGCTGGATTACATCACAAAGTGTGGCCTCCCTGAAGGGCGTGGGCTCAGCAGGTGCACCCAGACCAGAGATCAGAACCCACGGAGCCGGGCATGAACTGAAAGTGCTGGAGCTTCAGGTGCACCATGGGCTGGGCTGGCCAATCAGAGCCCAGCTCCATGGGGGAGCTTGGCAGGTTGGGCAGGTGGGGCTGGGGGCCAGGAAACCTCAGGTGGTGAGGAACACTGGGGGCAGGGGCAGACACCCCTAGTGCTAAGGAGAGACAGGAACTGCTGTCCAGAAACATACAGCAGCCAGGGCAGAAGGAGGGGGAAGGCGGGCAGCCGAGACTCCTTCACTGGCATCCCGGAGGGTGGATGTCCGTGGAGGAGAGAGGTGGCTGGAGAAACTGATCCTTTGATTGTGTCTAGAATCCAGCTGAGCCGACACATACAGCAGGCAGCCGTCAAAGCCGGCCCTTGGCATCTAGCGGCAGCAGCCACTGCTCCATCCCTGCAGCTCCAGCCCAAGACAACAAGGAGACGGACCAGTGCCTCCCGCCTGAGGGGCCATGATCAGCTCGTGGAAGCTCTCCTTGCTCCTCCTCACCCTCTCTCTGGCTCTGGCGGCCAGCCAAGAGCCCAGTAACAATGAGATGAAGGTGTTGAGGACACTGACCCCGGTCAATGTCACGAACGCCAACGTGAGGCAGAGTCTGTGGTTTGCCATGCAAGAGTACAACAAGCACAGTGAGGACGAGTATGTCTTCCTGGTGGCCAAGATACTGCAAGCCCAGCTACAGGTACAGGTGTTCGCTCCACAGAGAAGCCCACCTGCATAGGGTGAGGCCAGCCCGAGCTCGCCTAGGCCTGGGGAGCACACACCCCCACCCAGCACCCAGAACCACAGTGTGTACGTGCAGTGCTTTCTCTAAATGCCTGCGCAACTGAAGGACTCTGTGCACAAGAGGGCAGGATCTTTGCAAAGTTCCCGGGAAATGGGGATTCTGAAAAACTTATGCGTGGAATTTTTAATTCCATTTATCTGCAATCTGCAAACTTCCTGAGGTGTTTTTTTTAACAGCTTTTTTTTTTTTTTTTAACAGGCAGAGTGGACAGTGAGAGAGAGAGACAGAGAGAAAGGTCTTCCTTTGCCGTTGGTTCACCCTCCAATGGCTGCCGCAGCCGGCGCACCACGCTGATCTGATGGCAGGAGCCAGGAGCCAGGTGCTTTTCCTGGTCTCCCATGGGGTGCAGGGCCCAAGCACTTGGGCCATCCTCCACTGCACTCCCTGGCCACAGCAGAGAGCTGGCCTGGAAGAGGGGCAACCGGGACAGAATCCAGCGCCCCAACCGGGACTAGAACCCGGTGTGCCGGCGCCGCTAGGCGGAGGATTAGCCTAGTGAGCCGCGGCGCCAGCCTAACAGCTTCTTAAAAATTATTTATTTACGGGGCCGGTGCTGTGGTGTAGCGGGTAAAGCCACCACCTGCCGTGCAGGCGTCCCATGTGGGCACCGGTTCAAGTCCTGGCTGCTCACTTTCTATCCAGCTCTCTGTTATGGCCTGGGAAAGCAGTAGAAGATGGCCCAAGTCCTTGGGACCCTGCACCCATGTGGGAGACCCAGAAGAAGCTCCTGGCTCCTGGCTTCAGATCGGCCCAGCTACAGCCGTTGAGGCCATTTGGGAAGTAAATCAGTGTATGGAAGACCCCTCTCTCTCTGCCTCTCAAATAAATAAATAAGTAAATCAAGTGGAGCAGCCATGACTCGAGCTGGCGCCCATTTGGGATGCTGGCACTGCAGGCAGTGGCTTTACCTACTATGCCACAGTGCTGGTATCCTGTGTGTGTTTTTTTAATATGTATTTTATTTATTTGAAAGTAGAGTTACAGTAGTGGGGTAGGGGAGGGAAAGAGACAGAAAGAGAAAGACCCCTTCCAATCTGCTGGTTCACTCCCCAAATGGCTGCAATGGTGAAGGCTGGCCAATCCAAAGCCAGGAGCCATGAGCTTCTTCCGGGTCTCCCACAAGGCTGCAGGGCCCCAAGCACTTGGGCCATCGTCTGCTGCTTTCCCAGGTGCTTGAGCAGGGAGCTGGAACAGAAGTGGAGCAGTGGGCGGGGGGGGGGACTCCATGGGATGCCATGGTGGCAGGTGGTGGCTTAAGACTGATCCCTGCTGGTCACCCCTTGATGCTTCCCAGCCAGTTTCCTCCAAGACAGGCCAGAGCCACCTCTGCCAGTACTTAGGAGCGCAGCTGAAATCTGACTCCACTGAGGCTTGGAGGCTCAAAGGGAGGGTGCAGGAGAGCTGATGGCTTTGGTAACTCCCACTTCTGCCCCGACTCCCTCTCCCTGCCCTGAATCATGGAGAATGAAGCATGGCGCAGACTTAGGGAGGGAAACGGGATTAGAAGGTCAGACTTCAAGGGCGGGAAGTGAGGAAAAGGGGGAGAGGCAAAGTGAGAGGGGCGTGTGTTCGGCAGGACAGGGAGAAGAGCTGTTTTGGATGAAACGGCTCACTTGCTGCTTGGCAGATCACCGACCGTTTGGAATACCTCATCGATGCTGAGATCGCCCGAAGCACTTGCAGAAAGCCCGTGAGTGAAGACGAAGGTTGTGTGATTGAAGAGAACGCCAAGCTGGGGAAGGTAAGGGATGCCCCAACCGTCTGTGATGGCCACAGCCGCTCTGAGCCCTGTCAGGGATGACCCAGGCCTTCGGGTGCTGGGGGAAGCTTGGGGGACCCATACCCACTCTGCGCAGAGCTCTGCACAGTCACTCCCAGGGCTGTGAGAGCCAAGGGTTCAAGGAGGTGGAACCTTTAGTAGCTAGGGGCATGATGCCATTAGGTCCTCTCTTATCTCAAGGGCTCCCTCCACTCTGGACTTTAGCTGCAGCAAACTTTGTGCTGCTCAAAATCACGCAGCTTCTCCTCCACTCAGCAACTTGCTGCTGTGCACCCGAACTGTGTGGGCACTGGAGACGAAGCAAAGGCTTGGACAGATATAGCCACTGCCCTCCTAGGCTTACTTAGAGTTGATTCTTTCTGGGTTCAACATGGGTTTCCACCAAGGTCACGAGACCAGAGCCCAGCACCAAAAGGCAAACTCGTCCCAGGGGCTCTTCTTGGCTTAAGGCTTATATTTCTGGATCTCAGAGTTTGTGGAGGGCCCGAGAGAGAGGACAGGGAAGGCTCCAGGTGTTCTTCAGGTTTGCCCAGCAGGTGCATCTCTGTGCCTCCTTCGGCAGGTGATTCTTCCCTATAAACAAGCATCAGAATCACCTGAAGGCCTGGGTCCCAGGTGATGCTGGTGCTGGTCTTGGGATCACATTTTTTAAAAAAAAGATTAATTTATTTACTTGAAAGTCAGAGTTGGCGAGAAAGAGAGAGAGGGAGGGAGGGAGGGAGAATCTTCCATCTGCTGGCTCACTCTCTAGATGGTTGAAACAGCTGGGTCCACGCCAGGGCTGAGCCACAAGCTTCCTCTGGGTCTCCCACGGTGGGTGGCTGGGGCCTAAGCACTTGGACCCCTGTCTGCTGCTTTTCCCAGACTATTAGCAAGGAGCTGCCTCAGAAGCGGAGTGGCCAGGACTCTGATGACCTGGTGCCCACATGGGATGCCGGTGTCACAGCTTTACCTGCTGCGCCACAACGCAGGTCCCACATTTTGACAACCACTCCTGTCGCATGGTTCAAGAAGTGGCCTCCAGTTATGTTCAACCAAACTGCCTTTGTCTGCTCAAATGAAAAAAAAAATTCCTCTCATTGCTAGGTGATAGCGGATAGCTACCAGTATGAACATTGAAGAATAAGTTTGTCCTAACACAGTCTGACTCCATGTTTGCTGTGTTTATCTTCTGCTTCTACCCACTGTGCGGTAGAATAAATGGATCTTTATGTGTTTTACATATATCTTTTCTCCCCAGGTCCTTAGGATTACTGGAATGTTGTTTTTGCTAGTTTCTAGAAAAAACTGAAGAGTTAAGGACACTTGTCCTTGCGCCTTCTTGAATCTGTGATTTTCCTGGGCTTTTTAAAGCATATCTTTTTTTTTTAAGATTTATTTATTTATTTGAAAGTCAGAGTTACACAGAGAAAGAAGGAGAGGCAGAGAGAGAGAGAGGGAGAGGGAGAGGGAAAGGTCTTCCGTCTGCTGGTTCACTCCCTAATTGGCCGCAACGGCTGGATCTAAGCTGATCCGGAGCCAGGAGCCAGGAGCTTCTTCTGGGTCTCCCATGAGGGTGCTGGACTCCCATGAGGGTCCAAGGACTTGGGCCATCTTCCACTGCTTTCTGAGGCCATAGCAGAGAGCTGGATTGGAAGTGGAACATCTGGGATTTGAACTGGCACCCATATGGGATGCCAGCACTGCAGGCGGAGGCTTTACCCACTATGCCACAGCGCTGGCCCCACACTTTGTTCTTTTTAACTCCATCTGCTTCTTAGCTCCTGGAAATGCTTTAAGCTGTGTACTTGGCAGTTTTTCCAGTACCAGTATCTGCTCTCTCTCTCTCTCTGTCTCCATCCATCCATCTATCCATCCATCCATCCACTCACCCATTCATCCATTTATTACACACACGTTGAGTGTTGCATTTGTCATTTAAATCATATTTCGAGAGGAAGAGAAGGCTCTTTGGGACAAAACGTATGTTGCAGCCCAGAATCTTCCAACCTGCCCCATCAGAGGGAGGCATTTCCCCTAGCAGTCAGGACGCGAATGGAACACCCACATTTGTCCTGGCTCTGGCTTCTGACTGCAGCCTCCTGCTAATGCCCGCCCTGGGAAGCAGCGATGAGGGCTCCAGTAGTGGGAGACCAGGACCGAGTTCCCAGCTCCTGGCTGCAGCCTGGCTTAGTCCTGGCTGTTGGGAACACGTGCAAGAGAGTGAACCAGCAGATAGGAGACCCCCTTCACCTCTCAAATTAAAAAGAAATACAGGCCAGTGCTGCGGCTCAATAGGCTAATCCTCCACCTTGCGACGCTGGCACACCAGGTTCTAGTCCTGGTCAGGGCGCTGGATTCTGTCCTGGTTGCCCCCCTTCCAGGCCAGCTCTCTGCTGTGGCCAGGGAGTGCAGTGGAGGATGGCCCAAGTGCTTGGGCCCTGCACCCCATGGTCGAGACCAGGAGAAGCACCTGGCTCCTGCCTTCGGATCAGCGTGGTGCACCAGCCTCAGCGCACCAGCTGTGGCGGCCACTGGGGGGTGAACCAACGGCAAAAAGGAAGACCTTTCTCTCTGTCTCTCTCTCTCTCACTGTCCACTCTGCCTGTCAAAAAAAAAATAAATAAATAAAAAATAAAAAAAAGAAATACATAGATGTGATCATTAAAATACATACATTTGTATCTAATGTAACATTGCCTCATTGCAATTTTGGACGAAAATGAGAACAAGTTTACATCTAATCTCCCCACTAATGACCATGTTGGGTAACACTTGCTACCTGCCTGTGGTTAGTGTGGAAGAGAGACTCACCTCAAGGGGGACTGCTGATGGCCACGAGGGCTGCAGCCCCAGCTCTGAAGGCTCCCAGAAGCTTTTCTTGGTGGGTGGCAACCCATCTTCTAGCATATTCTTATTTATTTTTTAGATTTGACTGATTGATTTGAGAGGTAGAGGTACAGACAGTGAGAGGGAGAGACAGAGAGAAAGATCTTTCACCTGCTGGTTCACTCCCCAAATGGCCATAACAGCTGGAGCTGCACTGATCTGAAGCCAGGAGCCAGGAGCTTCCTCCTGGTCTCCCACGCGGGTGCAGGGGCCCAAGCACTGCCTTCCCAGGCCACAGAAGAGAGCTGGACTGGAAGAGGAGAAGCCAGGACCAGAACCAGTGCCCATATGGGATGCTGGCACTGCAGGTGGAGGATTAACCTACTGCACCACAGTGCTGGCCTCCTTCTAGCATATTCTTAACCCGACATCTAGTCTTAGGCTCGTTTTTCCCCCTTTTTTTTTTCTGGAGAGGGGTACCCCACTGATTTTTGTCACCATGTCTTTCAGAAATTATATTGCAACTTCTGGGTAAGAACGCTTCCCTGGAATGGCGAATTCACTGTGATAGAGAAACACTGCAAGGACGTGTGACGGTGTTTGGAGCCCCCCTGCTGCCCCTGCGGCTGCCTGCACTGTGAAAAAGTAACACGGACAGGCGCGAGGCTGTCACACACACACTTGCTCTGTGTGCCGTTTGTTCTAAGTTTCACGGGGTGAGCATGCCCAGGCCCTCCTCGCTAGCATCCACGGCGTCCCTCCCCTTTGGCCAGCCCTGCTAGTCTGCGCCTCATATGGAGGCTGAGCCCAGTGGGCAGCTCTTCAGCAGGAGGCTTCCTTGGGTCTGAGGCTCTGTTCTGCCCTAGAGTCCCACGTGGACAAGTTCCCTGGGTGGGGGGAGGGGGTCCTTGTGCAGAACCAGCTGCTCTGCCCTGTGGAGTCTCTGTGAATTGAGCGGTTTGTGTTTCTTCCTCTGTGAATAATGGTCACAAAGAGAGAAGGGTGAAAGCAATACAGCCTGAAGCATGAACTGCATCGTGTGCATGTGTGTGGGTGTGCACATGCGTGTATGTGTGTGGTGTGTCATATGCATGTGTGTACATGAACCCGTCATATGCGTATTGTCTGAGTATTTGCATGCATGCATGAGTGTGTGTGGGTGTGTACGTGCATGTGTCTCTCTGTGCACACATATATGTATATATGTATGCAGAGGCATGTCATATGCGTGTGTATGCATCTGAACATGTACATACATGAATGTGTGTGCATGTGTCTGTGTATGCATCATGGTTGTGTGTGCATAGGAGGAAAAGGGAAGGAGGAAGGGGAATTTGGAAGGAATTAGACTGGGACAATGGGAATATGAGCATTTAAAACATTTGCGGAACAGGCCGGCGCCGCGGCTCACTAGGCTAATCCTCTGCCTAGCGGCGCCGGCACACCGGGTTCTAGTCCCGGTCGGGCCCCTCTTCCAGGCCAGCCCTCTGCTGTGGCCCAGGAGTGCAGTGGAGGATGGCCCAGGTGCTTGGGCCCTGCACCCCATGGGAGACCAGGAAAAGCACCTGGCTCCTGGCTCCTGCCATCGGATCAGCGCAGTGCGCCGGCTGCAGCGCGCCGGCCGCGGCGGCCATTGGAGGGTGAACCAACGGCAAAGGAAGACCTTTCTCTCTGTCTCTCTCTCTCTCTCACTGTCCACTCTGCCTGTCAAAAAAAAAAAAAAAAAAAAACATTTGCGGAACATGGAATTAAAAGGTAAGTTTATTTTGGTCAAAATATTTTTGAATCCCATGCATGGTTTTTTTCATAATACACAGTTTCAATAATCTTTTTTAAAGGTTTATTTTATTTATTTGAAAGTCAGAGTTAGAGAGAGAGAGAGAGAGAGAGATCTCTTTCATCTGCTGGTTCATTCCCCGGAAAGCTTTGATGGCCAGGGCTGAGCCAGGTTGAAGGCAGGAACCAGGAGTTTCATGCGGGTTTCCCACATGGGTGCAGGCAGCCAAATACTTGGACCATCCTCCATTGATTTTCCCAGGCCATCAGCAGGGACCCTGGGTTATAAGTGAGCAAGGGACACGAACCAATGCCCATGTGGGATGAGTGTCATAGGTGGAGGCTTTACTCACTATACTAGGTCACAATGTCGGCCCCTCCATGGTCTTTTTAAAGACCTCTGTACGCATGAATTTCAAACTATTTTACCTCAGTATAAACTTATGCCTTAATGCCATTTCCACAGATGTCTTGAAGTCCCCTTATAGTTGTGTCTAACAGGGAGTTGTTTAATGAGCAGAGTTTCTCTCTTGCAAGAGGAGGAGTTCTGGGGCCGGCGCTGTGGTGCAGGGGTTAAAGCCCTGGCCTGCAATGCCAGCATCCCATTTGAATGCCGGTTGAGTCCTGGCTGCTCCACTTCTGATCCAGCTCTTTGCTGTGGCCTGGGAAAGCAGTAGAGGATGGCCCAAGGCCTTGGGCCCTTGTACCCAGGTGGGAGATCTGGAAGAAGCTCCTGGCTCCTGGCTTCAGATCAACTCAACTCTGGCCATTGCGGTCATTTGGGTAATGAACCAGTGGATGGAAGACCACTCTTTCTCTCTCAGGCTCTACTTAGCTCTGTAACTCTGTCTTTCAAATAAATAAAATAAATCTTTAAAAAAAGATGAGAAGTTCTGGAAATGGGTTGCATACCAACGGGAATGCACACAACGCCTCGGAGCTGTGCACTTTATGATTGTGAAAAAGGTAAATTTTACATTATTTTACTATAGTTTTGTCCAGGAATGAGGTCAGCGATTTCTGTTTTGCAGAAGAGATTGCCCCAGAGGTAGTAGATACATTGTTCTCTCTCTAGAAACAGAGCCAGTTTTATAGCTACAAAAAACTGTTCACCTCAACCTTTTTTTTTGTTAAAGACTTATTCATTAATTTGAAAGAGAGAAAGAGAGAGAGAAACCATTTACTGGTTCACTTCCCACATGGATGCAATGGCCAGAGCTGAGCCAGGCTGAAGCCAGGAGCCCAGGGCTCCTGCTGGGTCTCTCACATGGGTGGCAAGGTCCCAAGTACCTGGGCCATCCTCCACTGCCTTCCCACATGCATTGGAAGCAAAGCAGCTGGGACTTAAACAAGTGCTCTGATATGAGATGCCGGCTCTGCAGGCAGGGACTTAACCCGCTGTGCCGTGATGCCAGCCTCCTCATCTCAACATTATTTCTCCATGCCCAAGAGCCACGGTTGCTCTGCTTCTGCCCTGAGCCAGCTTTTCCCCTGTTGCTGCTGCTCACTCTACTGGTACGGGGATCTGATTCACGACTTCCTGAAAAATTATCCTTTGATGGTTCCCGCAAGTTTCTCCCAATGTTCTCCACACTCCAGAGTGTCCGGGATGTCCAGTGGGATTCAGAGCTGGCTGCCCACCCGCCCTAGCTCTGGCCCTCCCCAGGTCAACACAAGAAGTTGGAGGCAAGCGTTCTCTCTGCCTGCCACTCGCTGCTAAGGGCAGTGGGGAGGGGGCTTCGTGCCCACTTAGAAATGAGCACCATGACGGCCAATGGTCAAGAACTGCCTTTTTTGGGGCAAGATTTTGTTTGTTTATTTGACAGGTAGAGTTGTAGACAGAGAGGGAGGGAGAGACAGGTCTTCCATCTGCTGGTTCACTCCCCAGATGGCCACAACTGCTGGAGCTGACTCTGTTAGAGTCATCAGTGCAGGGTCCCAGGAGCTCTCAGCCACACAGACTTCACTGCACCTGTCCTGTCATCCATGATAGGAGAAGCCGTCCCTCCCTTCTTCCTTCTCTGCCTCTCTCCCCCTCCCTCCCTCCCTCTCTATCTCTCCCCCTCCTTCCTCCTCTTCCTTCTCCTTCTATCCAAAATGACCCATTCCAGATTTGGGCCGTCCTGGCTCTTGGAGCTTTACTCTGCTGTCTAAAACATGGGCACCATAAATGACCTACTTGGCAATTATTGGATCTCATCTGTGTACCTGCGTGTGTGTGGACAGGTTTTGTTCACACGCATCCATCCCAGTATGTTTCTGTGCCCTACTAAGGAATATTCTTCTCTCCTCTGAATACATCTCAGGCATAAATATTTTTTAAAGATTCATTTATTCATTTGAAAAAGTTACAGAGAGAAGGAGAGGCACAGAGAGAGAGAGAGAGAGAGAGAGAGAGGTCTTCCATCCACTGGTTCACTCCCCAGTTGGCTGCAACGGCTGGAGCTGTGCCGATCTGAAGTCAAGAGCTTCTTCCTGGTCTTCCACACGGGTGCAGGGACCCAAGGACTTGGGTCATCTTCTACTGCTTTTCCAGGCCATAGCAGAGAGCTGGATCGGAAGTGGAGCAGCTGGGTCTTGAACCGGCACCCATATGGGATGCCAGTGCTTCAGGCCAGGGCGTTAACCCACTGTGCCACAGTGCCAGACCCTCACATAAATATTAACTAGTGGTTCATTGGCCCCTGTCCCGATTCAGAGTCTTTGGGTCTTATTTCTGGGTCTGGCTCTTGATTCCAGCTTCCTGTTGATGCGGACCGTGGGAGGCAGCAGATGATGGCTCAAACAGTTGTGTCCCTGCCACCCTTTTGTGAGAGACCTGGGTTGAGTTCCTGGCTCCTGGCCCAGTCCTGACCATTTAGGGCATTTAAAGAGTGAACCAGCAGATAGGGGCTCTCTGTGAGTCAGTCAGTCAGTCTCTCTCTCTCTCTCTCTCCCCTTCTCAAACAAATTATAAATAAACAAACATACACCAGATTGGACGTTCTACCTTTCTAACTTCAGGAGAATTTGGAATTTTATTTTGTGATTTTTTAAAAAGTCTTATTTATTTATTTGAAAGTCAGAGTTACGGAGAGGTGGGGAGAGACAGAGACAAAGAAAGAGATCATCCATTTGCTGGTTCATTCCCCAAATAGCTGCAACTATCAGGGCTGGGCCAGGTCGAAGGAGCCAGGAGCTTCATCCAGGTCTCCCACGTGGGTACAGGGCCCAAGCACTTGGCCATCTGCTGCTGCTTTCCCAGGTGCATTAGTAGGAAGTCGGTACAGAGGTAGAGCAATTGGAAGTCAAACCAGCACCCTTACGTGATGCTGGCACTATAGACGGTGGTTGAACCTTCTAAACCACAGTGCCAGTCCCAGAATTCCCAGAAAAAAATTTTTTATTTGACAGATAGAGTTATACAGTGAGAGAGAGAGAGACTGAGAGAAAGGTCCTCCCTCCGTTGGTTCACCCCCCAAATGGCTGCTACGGCCAGAGCTATGCCGATCTGAAGCCAGGAGTCAGGTGCTTCCCCCTGGACTCCCATGTGGGTACAGGGGCCCAAGCACCTAGTCCATCCTCCACTGCCCTCCTGAGCCATAGCAGAGAGCTGGACTGGAAGAGGAGCAACCGGGACTAGAACCTGGCACCCATATGGGATCCCGGCGCCACAGGTGGAGGATTGACCAAGTGAGCCATGGTGTCAGCCCCCCCGAAATTTTTTATATTTGTGTCATATCATTCTGAAACCCAGACTCGTATGTGTTTGTGTGTATATGTATATGTACACATACATACATATGTAATACATAATATACACACACAAAAGCATATATGAGTATATAAGAGGGTACCCCCAAAACTTCTCGGAAAAAAAACAGAATTGAAAGGTGCATTTATTAGCTGGCACCGCGGCTCACTTGGC